AAGTATCCTCTATGAAATATGCAGTTGTTTTCCAGATACATTAATTTTTTGCGAATTTGTTTATTAACTGTTATTGTATCAAAAGTGAAGAGAACTGTATCGAAGTTAAGTACTCAAAACACTGTTATGGAAGTATGGTATGGACAAGTTCAAGGTGGGATATGTTAGCGATAATGATGATCCTACAAGGCCAAAGAGTGGCTACACTACACCAGCAGAAGGTGGAGTGATTAATGTAGAATAGTTATGTTTTATTGTATTGAATATACGTTAATTAGTATTTTGTAATATTCCTTCCCATTTCAACACAATTATTCTAAGTAATTATTAATTTAAAGACTGCTTTTGTCAAAAATTGTATTTCAATTTTAATTATTGTTCCAATATATAGAGTTTATTATATAGTATCTTGTTACAAATTGTATCTTATACACCAATACTTGTTGACACCCAATTTTGGACCTCCACAATATACATTAATTATCGAGCTTCTTAAATTTCAAGCAATTTAAAATAATTAGTGTTATACAAGTTTAAGAAAAAATAAAATAATTTGCAAATTATTTTAAATAGTTTCGTCGCTTTTATAATTCTTAAAATATATGTGTTTTATACTTTATATATATGTATATATATATATAATTAGTATACTTTATAAATATTTGGCTTTTATAATTCTTAAAATATATGTGTTTTATACTTTATATATATGTATATATATATATAATTAGTATACTTTATAAATATTTGGAAGTCATCTCAAAAGATTTTTATATTTTAAGCTAAATATTTTATCAATTGAGCTTAGTTCGAATTATAGTAATTTTTAGTTAATTAGTTTAATTATCTTAGATTTGAACCAATTATTTTATTTCGCTAAATAAAGAAGCTCATTAATTAGTTTTAATAATTCGATCTTAGTTAGATTTCGGCCGAAATTGCAAATTAAATTCAATATGACTATACCTCATTTGCAATTTTTGCCCCTTTCTTTTACTTCTTTTTTTTTAGCCTTTGAGAAACCAATTTGGGCCTTTTTACTAGTCTGTCAGCAGCCCACACGACCCATTCCAACTTCCCCTCAATACCCAGCCCATTAACAATACAACACATACATACACCAACCAAATTTCCCAGTCCAGCCCATTCCCCTGACCCGACCCGTCCACTTTTCTATTCTCAAAAGGAACCCAACAACGCTTATTTCAACGTTAACAAGAGAACCCAGCAACACGTCAAGCAAAAGCAGAAAACGACCCCAACGATAGCGACGAAGACGAGAAACAGTACAGCAGTTCAAGACGTACGCTGTGAATTTTGGCTTCTTCCTCGACGTCTCTCTCCGCATTAATGTCGCAGCAGCACGCGGTTGACCCCTTTCCCCTTTCGGAATGGGCCGAAAATCTCGAGAAAATGGTGTTTGTCCAAATTAGTGAAAGGTTTTGAATTTTGAAATGGTTCTTGAATTCAATTTTCATCTTTTTCCCCCCTAATTTCGAACCCTAGTTCTTTTCTATATAATTCTTTTGTTGTTCACTGTATTGGGGGTGGGGGGATTCTTATTCTTTTAGCAATAGAGCAGAGAAGAACTTAAGCAAGAAATCGCTAAAAATATATACAAAAATACGCCTAAGGAACCAGGGGGGGGTTCTTTTTTTTCGGTAGGAATTCTTGGAGCAAAAACACGAAGAGAAAGTTAAGCAAATAGCTTCATTCGAGTCTGAGGTTCTGCCCGAAATTCTCGTCTGTCGTTCGTGTTCGAGTCTCGTGGTGAAGATCGTCTCCTTGCTCGTTTGTCTCAGTCGCTGCCCCAAGAAAGGTAATTTTGTTCCCCTTACGTTCTATTGCTATACGGTGTGTTGTATCACATTTTGTACCTGTTGCGCTAAGTGAAGTCGATTCCTTGCGTTGGTGTCTGTTTTGGTTTCACTTTTATGTGAGTTTTTAGTTATAAATGTGTATTAATAAGCATCAGTGAATTGGTTTCGGAGATTATATTGATCGGCACAAGTTGTTGGCTCGATTTTGTTTTTATATTGGGTCGCTGCCTCGTTTTGATTGGAATGGCAAGGTTCGTTTGCTTTTAAGTTAGATTGGTTAGCTGCATAGTTATGTCTTCCTCACTACTTACTTGCGATTTTGGTTGTCTTGTTTGCCGATTTAAGGTGTCATAGCATTTTCTCATCATCGCTATCTCTATATCATAGGATCTGTTTATGTTCCTGCATTACTTGGATGCCGGCTGTGCTCTCTTGTATTTCAGTCATTAATGTATGTTTACAACTCACCTTATTGTCTTCTTTTCCTTCTAAGTAGCCTTTCGTTTCAATGTTGCCCATTAATCGAAGCTGGAAATCTCAATGCTAAGTAACAGTTAGTCATACCCTCGTTCGCTCGCCGTTATGTGTTCGCTTGCTTTGTCGCTGGTTGTATGAGGTCAATAGCTTGGTCATCTCTACTCTTCGTTTTGTCCTTAATCTGTTTAGTGGTGAAGTTGCTGTTTTGTGGATTGATATTATTGCCCTATGTGTCATTTGAAATAAGCATGCCTTCCTTCATTGCGTTTCTTTCATTTATGGGGTAGGTGTCAAAGTCCTTCTTTCGTTCTTGCGTGAAAGTTATGTGATTTCCATGTCTTACTTCTTAAAAATTGTTATAATGATTAGCGTATGTTTAAACATTTAGGCATGTTTAGTATCGCATAAGTCGTTTACTGCTTGTTTAGTCATAGGAGAGCATGTGATGTATTTTTCTATTTTTGTTTGGAGTCACTGTTAGTTCTAAAAGAAGGGAAAATATTAGTTTATTCATATTTGGCGTTGTGTCAAACTAACGTTTTATTTTATTTTATTTTTACTTTTTTTTTCTTTCTTCCTTGAATTAAATTACGGTAGTATATAATTGTTTAGAATATAGTAATATATAAATATTAAAGTATGGTAGCATGTAAATAGTAAAATACGGTAGTATATAGATTTTAGAATATGGTAGTATAATAAATTTTAGAATATAGTAGTGTAATAAATATTAGTATATGGTAGTGTAGTAAATATTAGAATATAATAAATTTTCTTGTATTATTCATAACTCTTACTTATTGATTCTCATTTTTCGTGTTTGCATGTGAAATTTGTCCGGGTTCTCACGGACTCTATCCTCGCATTCTCCTTTGGGCCACGAAGGCCCATATCCCCTTTAATCCGAGTTAGCTAGATAGTAAAATCGACGAACAGGTCTCAAGATTAAAAGAAAAGCGGAGCAAATCGGGAGTTGAAAAAGATTAGGCCAAAGCCTACCTTTATTTATTCGGAATTGTATTTTGTTATTATTGGGCCTAAGCCCTCGCCATTTTACTTACATTTTACTTACTATTACTCGTTAGTTCCTAGGACAGGTGGAGAAATTGGGCTTAAGGTCCAAAAGAAAAATATTTATTTCATGTTAGACTAGGACAGGTGCAGGTGACTCAAATGGGCCAGAGGCCCAAAACGAAAATGGACCCAAATACTGGTCCAGGCGAACAGAAACCAGATTTGGGTCCAACCTTCTTTCCCTCTTTACTTTACTGTGTTTGTTTGGCTTGCTAGTATTTGTTGTTAATCTTAGGGTCGAAAAGTTCAAATCCCCGGAAGAAACCTATTTTGACTTAATAATTTAACTAAACCAGTCATTGCTTAACAAGACTTAAAAGAACAATTTTTTGCAAAATTAGCTCACTTAGATAATATTTAAGTACTTCCCTTTTTCCCTTTAAAATAGTTCTAACTATAAAACAACTCAAATTTTGCAATTCAAATTAAGTTAAATTATTTTAGCCAAATAATTAATCGCCGGATAACCGCATTGGCGGATATTCTAGGTGCTTTAAAAACCTTCCTAGAATATTAATAGGAGCCCCGAACCCCCTTCAAGTATTTTCAATCGATTTCCTGTTTTAATCTTTTGAAAAATAAGTTTTCTTAATTTTCCTTTAAAAAATTAAGTGGCGACTCTAAACCAGTCCAAAATATATTTTTAAATAAAACAATACTACTGATACAATATAACCATCAGATACAGAAAATCTGAATACTATATATTTTACACTTGGTAAACAACAACTAATTTTCAATTTATTTAGTATCTATTAACATGTGGTAGCCTTGATGTAAATCACAACATATGATACTATATTATTATCAGATACACAATATCCATAAAAATTATTATGTATATGATACACATTTTTATTATCAAATAACAAATTTTTTGTATATGTTACAATTGGTACAAAAACATTAAGTTTCAATATATTTAGTATCCTTTAACTGGTTGAATCTCGTAACATTGATTTAAATCATAACAACTAACATTTTTTTATTATCAGATACAAAATATAGTTGAACTATAATGTATATGATACTAAATAAATTATCAAATAACTTAATTGTTATATACCCCCAACACATGATACAATATGTTTTACACTAGGTATATAACAATTCAATATATTTAGTATCAAGTGGTTATGTTGTTGTAAAGTTTTTAGGTACTGACCATCAAATCAGCAATGAAATGAATTTGTTTTTTACATATTCCTTTCATACTCTCCATTTGTTACTTAATTACATATGGTGGCTATCCCATCACTTCTGTATCGCTAGTATCTAACATCACTACAAGAAAAAGCTTTATTTATGACCAACATTTAGGGACAAGCTAATAATCTCGTCTCTAAAAGTATATGTATTAGGACGAGATTATATTTTGGTCCTTATTCATATACTTTATTGTGAAGGTACTAAATATGGTCCCTAAAGAACCATGTAACTGGTCCCAAATTATATAATTGAAGGCCCTGCAAGGAAGGATTGGGAGAAAGTGGCTCAAATTTAATAATAAATTATTTTTAAAACATAAAACTTTTCTTTTAACAAAATCTTAGGCGCCAAAACAAATTACTGTATATTGAAATAAATATTAAAAAGCTCTCTATTTTCTAAAATTGCAAAACGCTGCCCTAATCTCACATCTATCTCCATATCGCTCTTGCTTTTCCGCCGCAACCCGGTCCTAATCTCGGCGAAGGTAGTTTTCCATCGCAGCTCTGCCCTAAAATCGAGGCAGGTATCTTCTTCCTTGTGTCGTCCTAGCTCTACTCGAGATAGAATTTTAGGTACGCCTCTTTTCCAGTCTGGTTACTCTTTTCTTCCATAGGTTGTATTGGTGGCATTTTTTTCTTGTTTTATTCTAGTTACTTTTCTTCCATTAGCTCTGCCCTACATTATTGGCGTTTTTAAATTGGTTGAAGGCATTTAAACAGAATGTTAAGGACCAGTTTCAGTTTTCGTATATATGATTTCTTATTTTATGTTGACATCCATGGTACAAATAGATTGTGGGACTTTGAAGCCAAAAATTACAAATTTAATATTTTGCTAGTGAAAGTGTAGTTTTGCTATAGAGATAAGTCCAAGCTAGTAGATGCCTGGATATATTTAAAAAATCAGTGCTTTACTTGTAGTGTTGACAGAGTACTAGTTGTTTTATGTAAACATCTATTTTTTTCATCAAAACTCTTAGACTCATCACTTAGGTGCTCAGTTCCATTGTCTTTTTCTCAACATGTTTATATGGAGTTGAACCCTATTCTTTACATGTTATATGACTTAATTTGAAATTGGTTACTCTTGTTCTTCTGCTGTCTTGTGTAGTTGAATTATTTTAGTTGTTGATTCTCCTTTATTTGAATGTTGTTTATTTCATTATGCAAGTCGTGGAAGCACAATCTATATGTTGAACATTATATTATGACCTTGTTTTGACAGGATGTTTATAGATGGAATTTGATTATAAGTTACTTCAACAATGCCCCTCTTCTCGAATAGGAGGGGACTTGATACAAAAGTAGATTATTTAGCGGCCATACACTACATTTGTCTTTGTGTCACGATAAGAAACTTGAGCCATCATTATTTTCCTACTAATGAATTTCGTTAACATTAGAATCTAGTCCTGCCCGATTATTGGAACATTAACTTTTCTAATTAATTTTTCTTATGTTCTTGCAGATTTGTTGATGTTTATGGATAACACTTGATGAAATTTAGACTCCTTTTGAGGTGAACAATTTTATTATTCAAGTGTAAAATTTACATATATTTTTTTGGTAAGCAAATAATTGTACTTACCCATCAGGAAAACCACATTAAGCACAAGGTTGTTGCAAGATTGGGCAAACTACTACCTAAACAACAATTTATTAATTCGTCGGGCAAATTCCTACGACATAAAAAATTTATTTTCTTCTCAGTCGTTCTATGCCAACTTCCAATTTTTTTTGTTAATTTTTAGTGTTGTCAACCAACACAACAAGGTACTTTTTAGTCATTCTGTGATTCTTCTATTTGGTAGTCCTGCAAAGGCTCATGCCTCACCTGAATAATGCATATTACCTCAGAAAAAGAGTTCTTGTGAAAATGAATTTGATAAACTGTCGGTCAATTCTTGCCTTCTTTTGGAAATAGCCTCATTTTTTTCTCTAATAAAATGTAATATACTTCAGCAGCTAAGCACATTTTATAGATATTTGCAATAATTGAATGACCTCTTGCATTTACCACAACCCACTCAATTTCCTCAGTCCATTTTGTTACAACTCTGCTCTGTTCATTCAAGTTGAATATTTCCACCAGATAATAGTAGAGTATTTGCAATGAAATAGTAGGTGATCAAGTGTTCCTGGATGGTCTAAACAGAGAAAGCCTGCCATGTCTTTGATATCAGTCCACTTTGCAATCCTGTCTTTAGTATGTAGTCTTCCATGTAGAGCCAAGAACAAAATGAATATTCACGTAGAAGCACCATAATTGTCACACAAGCCTTCTCCATGAGCATTTAGGGTAGATACCTCTAATCTGGAGATACATGTTATGTGTAGCAAACTATTCATTTGCATAATATCAGGTTCTGTAAGCCTATTTATTTCATATACTTTGCAGCTTCAAGGATTTTTTTTCACAAGCCAACATGCTTATGTTGGTGTATATTATTATACCAATCATTATTTAACGTCATCTCAAAATTTTGTACTTGCAGATTTTGAAGATTGAAGTTACAAGTCAAGATGCAAGTTTAGAAGATGCACAAACTCATTATTATTTTGCTATGAATGTTATGGAATACTTGATATTATAGTCTAGCTAAGATGTTAGCTAAGTTTTTTCTTAGCTATATATATTATCTCTTTGTATTGAGATTTTCAGTAGTAATTCAATATTTATTTATTGAATTTATTTTTTTGTGATATCGAGCTTCTAGAACCAATGGTGGTTAATTAGAGATTAGAATTATTGTTCGTCTCTAATGGTCAATCAAAGACTAGAAATGTTCCTCTCTTAAGGATATATAAGACCAGAAACATTACTAGTCTCTAAATGATATCTAAGACCACACTGTTTTCGTCGCTAAAGAGTACAAGGACCAGGTTGATGCTAGTTGCTAAAGACTATTAACGACTAGAAAGTAAAAAATTTAATTAAAATAAATCGCCTATTTGAGACCAGAAATGTCGTCTTTAAAAGCATGTAACGACCAACGTTTTCGCTCGTCCCAAAATACATATAACGACCAGCTAATGAAACCCGTCGTAGTTAACTTTTAGCGAAGGAAGCTATTAGGACGGGTGGCGACCAGCCTGTTTCCTTCGCAATAGATCATTTGGGACCAGATTTGGACATTTAGGGACAAGATTTCCCTTCCTTAGAGGCTGTTTTTCTTGTAGTGCATCACTTTCCCATGATCCAGAATGCATGAACAAGATCGAAATATTCATTTCGAATCTTCACAAAATTGCGTTCCAAAATTGTTTGAATCAAACTTTTACTGTTTTTTCGAAGAACAGGGAGAAGGTTTCACAATTTGAAATTTTAAAATTATAATTCAGTTAGAGATTTAAGAACGACTGATTGGTTGAAGGAAGAAACGTACGCATGATTTGTGGGAGTCAATTATAATTTCCGTTTTAAACCCTTATTTAACGCATTAAACTGATAACAACAACTTAATAATTTAAGTATCCGCCCTTTATTAATTAAAGTATCAGCCTGCAATATTATGTATCCGAAAGACACTAAAAAAGGGATTTTTGGTAATTAATGAAAGAGTAGGGATAGGAAGTAATTTCTTTCTTATATTATGTGATTTGCCTAATTTTTACATTTTTCTTTGGACAATTTTCGCATATAGCCACTCAAAAATAACTTAATTACGTTCCATAGTTATAGTTTGCTAATTACGATTCCTAGATACATGTTATAGGGAAGAGAGTGGCGAGCGAGATTGGGATAGGGAGGAGAGAGTCGAGCGAGAGAGGGCAGAAAGTGCAAGAGAGGTGAATTGTGTATGTATATCGGCTAGATAATTATATATATGTAATTGATATACATATGTATTTGTATATCTGGCGAGAGAGATTGGGAGAAGGAGGAGAGAGGCGAGTGAGATTGGGAGAGGGAGGAGAGAGGGCAATAATTAGTATAATTCGCATATCGTTTATATAAGTTAAATATTGATGAACATTTTGTCAACGGCCACTAGAGATGTGATCGAGTTCGCTTACCTTCCACTAGTCAAATTTGACGATATAAAGCTTTATACATAATTTATTGCATATAATTTTCTTAAGTCGACGATTAATGTATATCCTTTTTTATATAAGAACAAAAACTGCTGGAGAAAATATTTGGGGGATCTGGCTCTCATATCACTAATTTAATTTATAGTTTTCTCAGGGAAAATGATAAAAATGTCGATAGATTTATGAAAAATAAGTATAGTTTAACAAAATTATAAAGAGATAAGTGTAAAAACACATCTAAACTATCGTCTTTTATTGAGTTTTATACCTAAATTGTTGAAAGTGTGAGTTTCATACCTAAACTATTACTTATTAGTTTGAGAAACACATCTCTAGATCTATAAAAGAATGTCTTGAGTGCTATTCCTCCTAGTCTTAGCAAATATGAATGGATTGCAACACTTCCTAGAGCTTTTGGTTGCAAAATTAGTCAAAACAGATAGAGATTTTCAAGAAAGAGGTACTAGTACTTTCTTTAAATCTTTTCATAGAATATGTTATTGCAATTCGGTATGTATAAAGAGAGCCACTTAATTAGTTAACAAACAATATTCAAAGTGGAGAGGTAGTTTATTTTTCGGGAAAAATGATTTCTTTAAAACTATAATTGGTTTACTGCTGAGACATTAAGGATTGAACCCATCAAACAAAATCATAGCTGACTAAATTACTTTGCTATATGTTTTAAAGGACGACTATGATGGTCTTGTATCTGTTGAGTTAATGTCTTTCAGAGCATTAGCACTCATTGGTGCCATAGTCTTTAACTAGCTTTGAAAGTGTATTACTTATTCTGATGAGGCAAAACGTGTGTATATGCTGCCATATTATAATAACTAAAGTTCATTGGATTCCATGAAATAATATTTCAATCTTGATTAAATTTATGGTGTTATATTATTTCATGATACTATAAGAATATGTTAGATTCCTTTCATTTTTAATTTTATTATGAATTTGTAGGAAAATGTGGGAGATCTAATTTGAAATGGTGGCCTCAAAGTTTATCGATTTATCATACTGAATGATGAAGACTTGTTGAACAATGATGTTGTTTAAATTTATGATTAATTCTTTTGCAATTCATTGGTAGTGCACATCTTGAAACATTGTTTTATTAATATGTGTTGTACAAGAAAAAATTAAAGTTGTTTTTTGAATTTTACTGTAAATCTATACATTTGAATTAATACTTTTAGTCCGAAATTTTTTATTATTATTTTGAGTTCATATTTAGATAGTTTAATTTTTGAGATCATCTTAATATAAAAGTAGTATATACTTCGATTATTGAATATATGCAAAATAGAATTGTAATTTTTTTAATATAGAATTGTGGCTACATTACAGAAATATTGTCTTAGAGCAGATTATAACGACCACACTTTTCAAATGTTGCCTATAAGGTAGAAATGCAACACTTGAAAAGTGTTGTTTGAGGCCATTAAAAGTGTTGTCATATAATGTGTTACAAGTGTGGCCCTTGTTGCCCTAAGGCCACACTTCTTAAGTGTGGCTTCTAAAGCAACACTTGAAAAGTGTGGCCTTAGGGCAAAGGTTACGCTAGATTTGGCCACCCCTAGAAAAGTGTTGTCTAAAGTTGAAAAGTGTGGCCTTTGGTCAAAGATTACGCTTTTTCACAGTTTATGCCACACTTTTCTGGGATGGCTAAAGACCTAAAATGTTGTAGTGATTTAAACATGAATTAAATAAACTAAAACAAGTATCAAATCCTTTACAAAATTATATATATTCCCTAGTACAACTATATGAATTAGTCTTTCAACAAATTAAAATTCTTAATTCCTAGTACAACTTTGAATAAGAGCTTCGTTACTCATACTAACAACTTAATCAATAATACATATAGAATAATAATATGAGGGACATTTTAGGCTGGCTGCCAATTGCAATGGAACTAGCTAGTTCAAAATAGATGCAGTTAGAAAACAATAAGAGTAGTCATCATCATCAATTAAAGCCTCCCCCAATAGTTTTCTCCATTCTCTAGCAATCTATTTTAGTTTCTCCCCCATTTTGTTTGATTCCTTGACAATGATTGACATTTTATGTGGAAGCCAAGAGGCAAATGTTTAGGAAATGCATGTATATATGTCCACAGAGCTAGCTTGGAGCCCTACCCTAAAAAATACAAACGATTTAGCGGCAATAATATAATTATCGCTACATTATATTCAGTGACAATAATAAATTGAGTATTTATAACCAACGCTCTATATAAATGTCGCTACAGACTTTAGAAAGACTCTGAATATAATGACATCAACTCAATTGTCAAAATTTATTGCGCTAAATATTTCGTGGTTATAGTTCTATTCAAGTACAAACACGTTTTCTTTCATTAGCTACATATATTTTCTTGAATTTATTGTATCCGGAGAAAATTTTTTTGAGTATACAAGATCAGAATTAATAATCTTAATTAAGATAATTGGTAGGTTAGTTCAAATAATGTTAAATAAAATTCATTGGATATACTCCCTAGGTGTACCTCCTACGAGATATTATACATCGATCTATTATTGGATCATGTGCAAACGTCTCACAATGGGAAGTTGATAGGAAAAAAAAATTACATATCAGATATAGCGATATTTTGATCGTTTGAAATTATTTTTGGAGAGAACTATAATGGCTATGCCTAAATCATAGCTAAAACTTATAGCAATCTAGTTTGAGAATTTTTTTCTTATATATGATTCAATAAAGTTAAAAATTTAAGACACATTTATTAGTACATGATAATCCTATTTCTATTTTAGGATTAGTTCAATATTCTCATTTAATAATTTCCACTCATATTCAAAAGAAAAAAAAAATTAACAACTGGCACTAGCACACAGCTATGAATATAACTATGCACATGCACTAACATATAGCGCTATTCTATAAAAAGTTAACTCAAGATTAAATGCGAGGTGAACTAACGTGCAATTTATCTTTTGCTTTGAGATCACAAACAAATGAATATATCAAATTAAGCATTTGAGGAAAATCTTGCTTTTGAAAAGAATATACTACTATTAGGAGTAGACTATATTATATAATTATTATAAATATAGAGATTACGTACGATAAATGGGGTGGAAATTAAGGTACGCCATTCTTTAATTATTTGAATAGCTAGACTAGCATGCATGTCAATTCGGAGGTTTAATTATTTAATTTAGTTTAACTAAAAATTTTTCCCGATTTTCTATGAACATTAGGGTCCATCTAACTAGACTTGCACTGAAAAGTCCCACGTTAGGAGTAAAAGACTTTCTAAAACTAGCGACTTCATATCTGATAAAACTCAAATTCGTGATCGCTGGTTAAGAATAAGAGATAGGTACTCCACTGCAAGTACCTTTAGTAATTTTAGTTTTATTTAATCCAAGCGAGTGGCTCATTTGATCTCGAAGTAATAAATTAGTAATATTTTCCTATTATAAGTCAAAGTCGTTCACGCAAGCTTCGATACCATATGTTACGTTCAACGAAATATTAAAGTTTATGCACTTGCTGTGTAGTTAGACTAATTAATTAATATATTCATTAATTAATCCCATTACTGGCAT